AAGGAATTTACAATATTATCAATAACAAATAGCTGACACCCCCAAATAACAATGGATTCACCCAATACACATTAGTCATATGACCTTTGACCTTGGTAATACAATCATACCCATATCAATTGTACAATAAACAAATTTCAGACAAATTGAGACTTGGACCCCCTAATTTACTCATAATTATCTTACAATACAAGCCCTCCCTAAGTTACTCTAAATAAGAACAACTTCTGTAAATTTATTTAAATTTGAATGGCAATACTACCTAAATCTGTCTCATATTAGTAACATACTGTAAAATACTTTATTTTCGCTTGGAATTGATTTTCGCTGAAGGAATGATTCAATTAAATGAAAAAATAATGAAAAAACTGAGTGGGTATACAGTTAAAATAATGGAATAGTGTATGCAAATTAATATGCAAATTAATATGCAAACTGATGCAAATAAGGCTACCCCTCAACTATTGAGGAAAACTTTGCATCTAGCACAAAAACAAAACCAGTAAGGGAAATATCACTGTAAATATATGGGTTATCACTACCAAATATGGGTATGTCACTACTAAATATAGGTATGTCACTACTAAATATAGGTATGTCACTACTAAATATAGGTATGTCATTACCAAACAAGGGTAAACCACTACCAAATATGGGTGTACCAACTACCAAATATGGGTGTACCAACTACCAAGTATGGGTGCACCAACTACCAAGTATGGGTATACCAACTACCAAATATGGGTATACCACTACCAAATATAGTTATCACTATCAACCAAGGGTATACCACCAAATATGGGTATATGACTACCAAATATAGGTACACAACTACCTAATATGGGTATACCACTACCAAATATGGGTGTACCACTACCAAATATGGGTATACCACTACTAAATATGGGCTGTACTTACCGTACACTTGTGTGGTTTCTCACCAGTATGTCTTCTCATATGTACAACCAACATATACTGAGCTTTAAATGGTTTCTGTTCTCGTATACAATCTTTCCATCGACACACAAAATCTTTCCTTTCAGCGTGAATATGGTCATTATTGATATGCTGTAATAAATTATATAAAGTTTCAAACATAAATTCATTTAATGTATAGCACTAGTAGCTTCGCGGTAAGTGGTTTCGTATTGGGTGGGTCTCGCAGGGAGTAGGGCTTTGTTGCAGTAACTGGTCCTTTCGCCGTTGGGTAACACCATAAGTTACAGTGTGCCGTAATTTTGTGGTATTTTACGGGTTATTTTCATACTACCATATTAGGAAATGATTAAAGGAATGATTATGCATGTAAGCGGCCTTTAATAATTAAAAAAAAACATGGCTGCCACCAGGGTTTGACCAGACTCTAAACAAAAAAGTTTGCTGATTCTGTTCTAAACTTTTTGGATTTCTGAATTCTCATGATGTATCCTTGGAAGGAAAAGATATATAATAATAAGTGATTATGAGGATACCTCAAAGTATGCACTCAGACATTACGCCGCGCATTGACCTCCACTGTGTGTCGACCGATACTCCAGCTGTACTGTCTTTGTGCATACTTTTAGGTATCCTCGTAATGACCTCATATTATCAAGTTGCTGTTTTTGGCCAAAAAACACAAAACTCAAAAATTAATTTTCTACTTACCTGGACCAACTCTTCTAATGTTTCAAAATGTTTTCTACATTCTCCCCACTCACAATCTGTTACTATGGCAACATCTTCCTCATCTTTCATTGGGTCACCGGGCGTCCCAACATTAAGATTTTTGATATCTGCATTAGTTGATGATGAAACGGTTGCCGGGGGTGAATTGACAGCTTCTTCCTTGATTTTGGTTCTTTTGATTATTGCTGGTTCCTCTGTACTGCTTACAGTGTTGCATTCATTTGTTGGTGTTACCGGCGACTACAAGGTAAACAAATCAATGATAGGTTGAAATAATCATGTGATCAAATATGTGTTGACAAAGCATCATGGGATACATGAACTGGCTGACAACCACGCTTTCTCTTTCCCTCAAAAGAAAGCTACATAGCATACAATGCACTGATTGGTCGACCTCTGTATTGAGACTACTTGAAAACAGACTACTCGTTGGTCAAAAATCGAATATTTGGAGAAAAAGTTATGCAGATTTATTTGGCTAAAATATATAGATCCCCTAAGTAACTTTTAATATAGATGACCCCCTATACAGCGGCTCCTCGATAAGCTAAGGGCTTTATCGAGGGGACCGGCCGAGAAGTATGCATACCAAAAATGACACCTCGAGTCAGGTCACCGTCACCCTTTGTATCTCAGAAATTGATGGCCAGTATGTGTTAAGTTGTCTCCTCCAGCCATTAAACGGCCAATTTAATACACAATATGACGAAACATTAGTTCTTTTACTTGAAAACTGTTGGCAAAACAGAAAATAGACTTAGACAAAACCCTGACTTACTAAGGCTCCACTCAGCTCGGGGTGGTGGTGGGGGGTCACTGTATTACCAACATTGAAAGTGTATTGATCAGCTGACCACCATAATATGTCATTATATGAATTGACTGACCACCAACTTACCACCAACTGTCCGTCGACTGACCACTGACTGGTTACTGTATTTACCTGAGCTTCACTTTCTTGTATTTTGTGTCTTGGTTCCTCTGATATTTTCTGCGTACCTGGTAGGATGTGCCTGAGATAACAGCGCCATCATTGACGGGTGTTGTGGAATCGGTGACGAATGATACGGCTGTGGTGGTAAGAATGGGTTCCCATGTAACTTTTTTGTCGCATAAAATGTTGTAAATGTGCTGGTGATATAGAAGGAGGAAATCCAAGAGGACTGATGGTCCCAGCAGATAAATGACCGTAGGAACCGCTTGCTGACGAACTACGTGATGTTCCACCATTGATATATGCTACTAATGAGTTAGGAGATGTTCGTATCATAGCGTTAATGTCTAAAGATTCATTTGAAAGCGGAGAAATTGACAGTGCTCTTTTACGAGTCAGTCTTGCAGAAGGTCTTGGACTGGAAAACCTGGAACCTGTGAAAATAAATGATTCCCAGAAATATGTTATATGGTTTGGTAAGATCTATCCAGGGATGGGTCATATGAAAAGGTCCATGACTCTAGTGAGCAGAGGTGCATGACTCTAGTGACCCGAGGAGCATGACTCTAGTGACCCGAGGTGCATGACACTAGTGACCCGAGGTCCATGACTCTAGTGA